GGGGGGGGGGGGGGTTAGTCATGTTTGGCATGCCTTCGTTGTGAGACCATCGACCAAGCGTCCTCGAGAGGGCGAGGCATGCGGGGGTGGGTGGGTGGGTGCTCATGTTTGGCATGCATTGTTAGACCATCGACCACATGTCCTCGAGAGGACGGAGCAAGGCGACGGGGGTTGCAAAGCAACAACATATCGGTACATGCAAAGCAAGCAGATATCGGTGCATTGTGTTCGCGGCAGGAACGACTACTGACAGGACAAGGCGAAACCGGTACCACGCACGGGACACGTACAAGCAAGCTCGCGCGCACGTCCGCGCCGCCGTGCGGTGCCAAAGGAAGAAGCGCTTAGCGGGAGCGCGCCACGCGATACGGTTTGCCGAGACACGGGATCAATCACAAAGGGCACCTCATCAACATCAAGAATAGGGATACCTGCGGTCTAGACCTTACAAGGGGAAAACGCTGAGGATCAACACCAAGCGAGGGGGGAGGGGCAAACCAAATGTGCCAGGCATGCAGTGCACAAGATACCCAAAAACACACAAACGTCGGGCATGCGTACATACGCGCGAATCTGTGTTCCCTGCGCCGCAACGAAACCACAGCCCAAACACCAAAACACCACGAGGCAAACACAATGGTTTGTTGCTGTTTTGTTGTTTTTGGTATTTTTTAAGTGTTGGGAAGTACATACAAACAGTCTCTCTTTAATGTATGTCATTTCCTCATGCACCCAACCACCACCCACCTTGAGGTTGGCGGAGCCGAATGCGAAGCGGTGCTTCCTGCGCCGCAGGGCCACCAGCCCGAACACAAACACGACCGAGAACATCACGGCCGCGGGGACGGCGCCCACGAGGAACATCACGCCGGCGGCGGCGCCGAAGATGCCGACGAAAACGGCGTACGAGGCGGCCAGGAAGCCGCGGCCGCAGCGGAAGAGGGAGTGGAGCATGCCGAACGAGACGAGGGAGGCGATGCCGAGGAGGGCCACGCCCCCGACGATCACGTTGCTGAGGTGTACCCCTCCGTGTCCTTCTTCGCCTTCGCCTGAGTTTTGTATCGGGTTTTGGGTCGACGGGTGAGCGAATACTCAAAGTGCGTTCATTCTTCCGAAAACGCAGCAGTAGCCATCATCAACTCGATGTAACAGGCAAAGCAAAACTTTGACCCGAAAGACGGGTCTGTGGGGAACGGTGCTTGCTGCTTCAACCAAAAAAAAAAAGGCCGGCTTCGATAGATGCATAAACAAAAACATCCCTCATCGATGGAGACTTACCGCCGTTGTGGTAGTGGTGGTGGTGCGAGTGGTCATCCCCATGCTCGTTGTGCATGAGCCGCCGGCGCCCCTGCCCAGAGAGGGAGTCGTTCGCTAGGGCCTCTAGCCCCTCGAAGCCAAACCAAAAGGCGGCCAGCACCGTCACGAGCACGTTGACCTTGAAAGCGCACGCCCACCCCCTGTGGGGGGAGTATCGGCTCTTATTCTCATCGTCGCCAGCCTGGATGGCATGCTCCGCAGAGTCTACGGCCAGAGGGAGCAGCGGCATGCTCGCATAATCCCCCCCGCCGTGCTCAACGTCGTTGTTGACACTTGTCGACATCGTTTCAGGTCGTCGTCGATTTCTCCGCACTCTTTTATCCTTTTCGTCCGAACACGCCGATTTGAGCTAAGGTCCCAGCAGCGAACGCAGTAAATAAACTTCCCTCCGCCCTTCGAAAGACTTGCCACTTGTCACTTATGAGCGATTGTTTCCTGCAGTCGCATACACTCCGGGTTCGTTGGGTCAAAGGCACCTTGACGTAAACTCTTTCCTATCTACCTCTCCTGGAATAGCACAGAGTAGGTTTTCGAGACGGGACGTCGAGATGAGAGGTTCATACCACGCAAACTATACTATCAGGGGTGGTAATATTGATCATCTGCCGACCCCCCGGTTCAGGTGCGGCGGGACTATTTCGCGTCGCGGGGCTTGCTGGTGGAGCCTAGTCATCAGGTACTTGGTTGTGTCACATCAGTGGGGTGCAGACACGACCGTCCCGACCAGCTGGCTGATGAAAAGACTGAATCAGTGAAAGAGAGGGTGCGTTTCGCTAGGCATTAAAACCGCAGTGATGCTGCTGCTGCTGCTGCTGCTGGAGATCGTCTGCGTCTTGTGTGCTGCTTCGACGGTTGGGGCATCATCAAGCCAGCGCAAGTATGACGGCAGCACACTCAGCTACGATCCAAAGGTATAATAGGCGTGTTGTAGCAAGATCGCGGTACGGCTGAAATTTGCTGCAGTCTCCGTGTGGATATTCGCAGCGAATCGTGTGCGTCGATTCCCTACTTTGTCGGGGGAAACATCAACCACGAGGAATGCAATTGGTTATGTTCGTCATGCACGAGAGGACAGGTAACTACATGTACATCAAGCCCCAGCTGCTGCTTGTCTGTCGCAGAGATCCCACGCTTGCAGACTACATCGTGGAGTACATGGGATTGCCAGCATAGCGGTAATGAGGGCCCCGGTTCGGCGGTTCAAGCGCCAAGATTTAGAACACCCGATCGAAGGCATCTCGCGCTACACCGAGATACATGGACTAGTTCGCGGTCACACATCGCCGCTAAACTGGACGACTCCCTCCCGGCAGTGATGAACGCATTGACCGCGCAAATAATCCCCCGGGCGTTCACGGAAAGAACAGAACAGCAGTACTATTCGAAACGCTCCATAAGAATGCATCGTGTGGATGTTGGAGCCCCGTCTGGCCGTGTCGCACACATGCTATCCCCGATTTTAGAAGGTATACAGTCACAAATGAACTACCCTTTCGAGAAATAAAACAATACCACAGCAATACTCGAAGGGTGTGTATTGAAGGCTTCGCAGTGCGCGGGAAGAAAACCGGCTGCTGGATTTTATTTTTTTGTCTACACAAGCCCATTCACTGGATTTTATGACAAATGCCAGCCGTTTTTGTCCTGGTCTTGCCGGCGTATGCATACAATGTTTTTTTTCTAGGGGAGAATCTACCAGGTGGAATACGCGATGGAGGCCACCCGGCGCGGCCGCACCGTGCTCGGGGTCTGCGGGGGGGGTTGCGTGGCGCTGGTGACGAGAGACCCGTCGCCGCCGACGTCCTCGTGCCGCGCGGCGGGCCCGCACAAAGGCGTGTGGGCGGTAGATACGCACGTCGGCATCGCTGCTTGCGGGTGAGGCGGAAGGGGGGTGTACCACTATAACAGCCGTGCATGCCGTAGTCGTGTTAACGATGGACCTCGCATCCCTAGTAAACCGGGACGGAGCACGCCGGTTTTTCACCGGACCTGGCTATCACATCACCAAGCACGCGAAGCGCCGTTAGGTGTTCGGGGGGGTGGGGTCCGATCGTGTCCACCCATGCCTTAATCGTTAGACCACAGATCCCTACAATGCCGGAACGCAGCGATGTGCCGGGTGGGAGGGGGGGGGGGGCGTACTCTTTTGTTTTGCATGCCTTAGCGGTTAGA